GCTAGGCTTCTTCTTGAGCCACTCCTTGGTTGCCTTGGCCGTGTGTTTTGGGTCATTGTCATGCTGGAATACCCACCCACGACCCCGTTTCAATGCCCTGGCTGAGGGAAGGAGGTTCTCACCCAAGATTTGACGGTACATGACCCCGTCCATCGTCCCTTTGATGCGGTGAAGTTGTCCTGTCCCCTTAGCAGAAAAACACCCCCAAAGCATAATGTTTCCACCTCCATGTTTGACGGTGGGGGTGGTATTCTTGGGGTCATAGGCAGCATTCCTCCTCCTCCAAACACGGTGAGTTGAGTTGATGCCAAAGAGCTCGATTTTGGTCTCATCTGACCAAAACACTTTCACCCAGTTCTCCTCTGAATCATTCAGATGTTCATTGGCAAACTTCAGACAGGCATGTATATGTGCCTTCTTGAGCAGGGGGACCTTGCGGGCGCTGCAGGATTTCAGTCCTTCACGGCGTAGTGTGTTACCAATTGTTTTCTTGGTGACTATGGTCCCAGCTGCCTTGAGATCATTGACAAGATCCTCCCGTGTAGTTCTGGGCTGATTCCTCACCGTTCTCATGATCATTGCAACTCCACAAGGTGAGATCTTGCACGGAGCCCCAGGCCGAGGGAGATTGACAGTTCTTTTGTGTTTCTTCCATTTGCGAATAATCACACCAACTGTTGTCACCTTCTCACCAAGCTGCTTGGCGATGGTCTTGTAGCCCATTCCAGCCTTGTGTAGGTCTACAATCTTGTCCCTGACATCCTTGGAGAGCTCTTTGGTCTTGGCCATGGTGGAGAGTTTGGAATCTGATTGATAGATTGCTTCTGTGGACATGTGTCTTTTATACAGGCAACAAACTGAGATTAGGAGCACTCCCTTTAAGAGTGTGCTCCTAATCTCAGCTCGTTACCTGTATAAAAGACACCTGGGAGCCAGAAATCTTTCTGATTGAGAGGGGGTAAAATACTTATTTCCTTCATTAAAATGCAAATCAATTTATAACATTTTTGACATGCGTTTTTCAGGAGTTTTGTTGTTGTTATTCTGTCTCTCACTGTTCAAATAAACATACCATTAAAATTATAGACTGATAATTTCTTTGTGGGTGGGCAAACGTACAAAATCAGCAGGGGATCAAAAACTTTTCTCCCCTCACTGTATATACACTGCTAAATTAATAGTACTAAGAATGCATTGAGATAATGATCTGTAGTTATTCTCAGGATGAGGAAGGTCATAATATAGTTATGGATATGTATACTGTATGTTAATATGTGTACATTCTGACAGTTGTAATGTGTGATAAAGTTGAGGGTTTTCATTTTGAGTGATAGGACCAATGTGAATCACTAAGAATTGTCATTCTAAATTTGGTTGAGATAACTAATTTGGTTTTGGTTATGATTCATAAGATGACAGTGATTTATATAAATCATTAGTATATATTAGTAACTAAAGATGTTGAAACTATTTTCAGCATGACTGGTATTGCTTGTACAATCGCGAGATAACTGTCTTAATTCGATATTATTGTTAAAACAGCGATACATTATTTTAATGTGTTAGGATACACTTATAAGATTTATTTTGAGTAGAAATTTTTGAATCTTACTGTTTGAAACATAGAGTTAATGCAAGGATTGTGCCTGATATCATGAACATGTTGATTATTAGGTTACCATATTCACATATTAGTCACTATATACAGTGGGGGAAAAAAGTATTTAGTCAGCCACCAATTGTGCATGTTCTCCCACTTAAAAAGATGAGAGAGGCCTGTAATTTTCATCATAGGTACACGTCAACTATGACAGACAAATTGTGGAAAAAAAATCCAGAAAGTCACATTGTAGGATTTTTAATTAATTTATTTGCAAATTATGGTGGAAAATAAGTATTTGGTCACCTACAAACAAGCAAGATTTCTGGCTCTCACAGACCTGTAACTACTTCTTTAAGAGGCTCCTCTGTCCTCCACTCGTTACCTGTATTAATGGCACCTGTTTGAACTTGTTATCAGTATAAAAAGACACCTGTCCACAACCTCAAACAGTCACACTCCAAACTCCACTATGGCCAAGACCAAAGAGCTGTCAAAGGACACCAGAAACAAAATTGTAGACCTGCACCAGGCTGGGAAGACTGAATCTGCAATAGGTAAGCAGCTTGGTTTGAAGAAATCAACTGTGGGAGCAATTATCAGGAAATGGAAGACATACAAGACCACTGATAATCTCCCTCGATCTGGGGCTCCATGCAAGATCTCACCCCGTGGGGTCAAAATGATCACAAGAACAGTGAGCAAAAATCCCAGAACCACACGGGGGGACCTAGTGAATGACCTGCAGAGAGCTGGGACCAAAGTAACAAAGCCTACCATCAGTAACACACTACGCCGCCAGGGACTCAAATCCTGCAGTGCCAGACGTGTCCCCCTGCTTAAGACAGTACATGTCCAGGCCCGTCTGAAGTTTGCTAGAGTGCATTTGGATGATCCAGAAGAGGATTGGGAGAATGTCATTTGGTCAGATGAAACCAAAATAGAACTTTCTGGTAAAAACTCAACTCGTCGTGTTTGGAGGACAAAGAATGCTGAGTTGCACCCAAAGAACACCATACCTACTGTGAAGCATGGGGGTGGAAACATCATGCTTTGGGGCTGTTTTTCTGCAAAGGGACCAGGACGACTGATCCGTGTAAAGGAAAGAATGAATGGGGCCATGTATCGTGAGATTTTGAGTGAAAACCTCCTTCCATCAGCAAGAGCATTGAAGATGAAACGTGGCTGGGTCTTTCAGCATGACAATGATCCCAAACACACCACCCGGGCAACGAAGGAGTGGCTTCGTAAGAAGCATTTCAAGGTCCTGGAGTGGCCTAGCCAGTCTCCAGATCTCAACCCCATAGAAAATCTTTGGAGGGAGTTGAAAGTCCGTGTTGCCCAGCGACAGCCCCAAAACATCACTGCTCTAGAGGAGATCTGCATGGAGGAATGGGCCAAAATACCAGCAACAGTGTGTGAAAACCTTGAAGACTTACAGAAAACGTTTGACCTGTGTCATTGCCAACAAAGGGTATATAACAAAGTGTTGAGAAACTTTTGTTATTGACCAAATACTTATTTTCCACCATAATTTGCAAATAAATTCATTAAAAATCCTACAATGTGATTTTCTGGATTTTCTTTTCTCATTTTGTCTGTCATAGTTGACGTGTACCTATGAGTAAAATTACAGGCCTCTCTCATCTTTTTAAGTGGGAGAACTTGCACAATTGGTGGCTGACTAAATACTTTTTTTCCCCACTGTACATATGAAGTATTTGGAGGTGTTGATATGGGACTATTAATTCCCAAAGGGGGAAGGGGATTGATGTGGATTTTTAGAGTGGTACATATCTCTGTTGCTAGGCAAAAATGTAATTGGTTCCTATCATGGGGTTTGGTGTGTGTGACATAGGAATGTTTATACTATTTTCATCTGATCTGACCTTTGGTTGAATTCCTCAATCCTAACTAGTCCAAGGCTGTACTGATTTATCAGTGATTGAAACCAGAGTGTTATCCTTGGTATCTCTCCTCAGGCATATTATGGGAACAGAGTCAGGGTTGAACAGAGTTGAACATGGTACCTATTAACAGTCTGAAATGTCACTCATTGAACAATATGCAATTGATAATCGCATAGCATTGGATGCTATTACAGTAGATAAAGGGGGAATGTATGCGATTATAGGGGGAGATGCATGTTGTACATCAGAATAGGAAGGTTTTGGGAATTTAACTAAAGCTATGGGAAATATTAGAGAAATACAGGATGGGATTAGTGATTACAGCTAGAGATGTATCATTCAATATTAACGCAAGGAGGGAAAGTACAAATTAATCTATATCATGATATTCAAGTGTAGAGTCCATTGATAATGTTGATTGAGGAGTGGGGAATGTGATGTTGGAACTGTATAACGGTGGATATAAGGTTTACAGGATTGGAAATGTGGAAACAAGACTACCTCAGTCGATCAGATAGTGCCCCAAGTGGCCAGAGAAAAGCTTGGGGGTCCTCTGAATGAAGAAATTGATAATGTATTTGAAGTTATTTTTATTGTGATATATTAATCTACCTATATTGTAGTCTACATGTAACGTAGAAATTGTCATGAATCAATGTATTTTCTGGGATGATGTCATGAGGTTAGGAATTCATTTGTATGTTTTGTTTGTTTGGTTCAAGTAATGTTATATCTGTGGAATTTTACTTACAACAGAAAAAGAATGGAAATGGGGGATTGATATTACGTATTTTATACAGTATTAGCTCATGTTTGGAATATTGAGAGCTGCATAAGCATTTGGAGGATGAGGACATTCCATGTATTTATATCTGTCACTGGTGGGTGCCAGAAGGTATGCGGGCCAAGATAGCTGGGGGGGCCACTGGTGCTAATCTTGGAAGGAGTACGTGATGGGATATCCTGACTAGGGTGCAACACGATACCATATAGGATGATCCTATATGTGGCGAGGAGTGACACTCAATAATGGTTGGCACCTGTTGGATAGAATTAGCTTGCAAACAAGTATATAAGCTAAGAGATTTCCTTTGTTCAGTTAGTTCATATAGCAATGGGCCACCCACGGGCCGTTTGCCATGTGAACCCGGTACAGCAATATTAAATACTTTTAATCAACTCTCCATGTAAGTGTTTAACTATTCTATTGCGTCCTGAATTACTCGATACCAGAAAATTCATCATAACATTTGTTCATTTTTTTTTTCATTCACTTTTTTTTTTATTGAGCAACAGGCTTAACATTAATCTAGGTTTAAAGTGAAAACTAAACTTAGATTAGAGGAAGGATTTAATTTAACTAGGATTATTTTAAAACCTAGGTTTAAAATTATGTGCAACAACATTAATAGATAAACCTTGATTTCACCAAGTTTAACAGTTCATCCATGTTGGTGCAACCCACCCACACAGTTTATACACACACACCTGCTTGAGATTACGTTGTTCTGCAGCTCCTGTCTGTCGAAGGTGGCGAGGGCACACATCCCACCGTACACCGCTACATTACTGGGGGACAGGAGCTGGACACACAATCAATACCGCCATGCAGTACAGGAGGTTGGCACATCAACAGAAACAATCATTAGCATTTGTCTAGTAGCAATTGTTGATAAACAACAACACATTATGGAAAACTCTCCCCATTCATCAACAGCAACATTTTGTTTTCTATGTATGTTCTTCCTTTCTCCGGCCACAGGGGACAGCGAAAGTACAGAGTTCACCTTTAAAAAGGCAGACTGAGACAACTCAGGGAAGTCACAGACTTCACCTTTAAGGTACTACACAGACAGAAAGACAAGCAGACAGGCAAGCAGACAAGCAGACAGGCAGACAGGCAAGCAGACCGGCAAGCAGACAGACCTCAGTGAAGTCACAGACAGGCAGACTAACCTCAGCAAAGTCACAGTGGTCGAAGGAGGCCAGCAGGAAGCACTTGGCTGCTTGTTTGTACTTTCTGGAGGCCAGCTCAGCAAGGCCTGGGGGACAGACAGACAGACAGATGGGGAGGAGGAGGAACAATGAGAAAGAAGGAGAGGTCTAATTAACCTGTTAGAGTGTGTGGGGAGAAAACCCACTAAAAGCACAATGGATTAGTCAGTTTAAAACTAAATCATTAGCATGAGCGTCTGCACCCTTTGAAGGTTGGCATCTGTTGTTAGTGTGTTTGTTGAAGGTTGGCATCTGTTGTTAGTGTGTTTGTTGAAGGTTGGCATCTGTTGTTAGTGTGTTTGTTGAAGGTTGGCATCTGTTGTTAGTGTGTTTGTTGAAGGTTGGCATCTGTTGTTAGTGTGGTTTTATACTTTCTAGAGAACAACAGGTGAAAACACTTAGTACACAGTAAATTGGCCATTGTTACCTAGTGTTGATTTTTCAGTGTGTTAAATTAATACTCATTGGTGTAAAAGAACACCCATCATTGTCATATTTCCCAGCATGCTCTATTGCAGGTATATTTTTAGAATTGTTTGTTTCAAAATCTATGTTTTTGCACATTGATTGATTAATTAATCTTATGCTATTCAAATATAAGGACATACATTTTCTAAACTAATCCAATATATTACTTGGATTATTTGCATCCATTACAGAAATGGTTGTTCCAGTTTAGATACTTTAGGTAGTCTCATATCTTACTCTTCCCAACCCTGGCAGTCGTTGTGAATGCAGGTTGCGGCTGATAAAAAATGCCAAAGTTTGAATATCCCCACTCTGGCTGGATTCCAATAGGAATTACACATCAATTTGCAAACCAGCATTATGTGACTTGCAGGCATGCAGTGGCCTGTAAGACACAAGTTTCAGGCCCTAAAAGTAAGGCCTTATGAAATAAGTATTCTATTGTGTTAAAGGCCCAGTGCAGTCAAAATTCAGTTTTTCCTGTCTTTTTTATCCTATAGTAGCACAGCTAGTGAAACTAACACTTTAAAAGTGTTGAAAGATTAGATCAGTGTTATTTACTGATAGTTGCTGGTTGAAAATACAATTTACAAAGAACCTTCTAATCAGCCTGTTTGCATGGGCAGGAGTTTCGGCTTGCATGGTGACATCACCAGGCGGTAAATTGATTAATAAATGGAAGATGTAATATGTTATTATTCAAATGAAAATAAAGCTACTGAATTAGTCGTTATTTTCTTCACTCTCTCTGGTAAATTTTACATACACAAAAAACAAACATTTGAAATCTGTCCCGAAATGTAATATATGTTTACTTGAAATAAAATATTTAGTAAAATCTCTAGAATGAGTCAATAACAAAACATAACTACGTATTCTTCCAACTCTATAATTGGTTTATACCACTATAACCCCCTGACCTTATTCAATTTATTTTATTTGAGGTACTGTGATTTTTATTTATTTGTTTTACTTTAATGTTATTGTATGTTTCTTAAGAAAAAAGATATACTTGTAGTGATGTCCTATTTTTATTTGCTATTGTATTGTAATTTGAAATGTAATAAAAAATTAAAATTAAACTATAGAAGAGGTCCAAACCTCTCTCCCAATAACAGCTAGTTAAGTTTTCCCATCCCCACCTCAGACCACTCCCAGACAGTCCCAGCAAGATTCTTGCTTGAGAAATAGTTTTTGTGCTAACAAGCTATTTTTGTCCATTTTAATGGAGAACTATTACAGTAAGGTACATAATTGTTACCCAGAAATTATTTGATATAAAAATGGCTGCATTGGGCCTTTAAATAATTTAATTTTAATGTTGACATATTCGCTTAGAATCGGACTTGGTGAAGTCCACAGGACTGAAAATGTATGAATGCAACAACCATGTCTAGGTCACTAACAAAAACGGTAATGGGTGGTAACTCTACAATTCACTCGAAAGGCAAGGCACTCTGGGGAATATGCAAATAAGGCTTTACACTAAGCAGTGTGTTAATTTAACACTGTCCCTCTGTCTATATGGGTCCACACTTTCAGAAATAGTTTTGGCCTCAGTGGCCAATCAGAATGTGCACCATGGCTAAATATTTGGTTGCTACATTTACAGTCTTATGTATCGAGTTGTCATCAACTCCAATTCGAATGTTAGTCCGTTATAGCCTAGTTCGTTAAATAAGATCCAATATAAAGAGAAAGGGGGTATGTCCACTCACCGTTATACTGCTATAAATGTAATGTTTTATAAACATCATGGAACCATCTTGGAGATCTTATTTGCACTTCTCCAAAAATAGCATTGCATTCGAGCCATGTACGTTCTCACCATAAACCCATGGATGGTAAATCTTTCTAATAAATTCATCAAATTAAACAAAAACACTCAATCTGTCTTTTAAACCAACAACAATATTTCTAAATAGGATTGGGTCAGAAGCATGATATCATAAATCACATCTCTCATTCCATGAGCATAAGGCACTGTGTGCACACGTAGGCAAAAGGGCTCTATGGCAGGAGGCATGGTTGTTTGTCCTATCCATTGAAAATAGTTTGTTAAATAGTATTCACTAACCCTACAATAGACCTAGTTATAACAAACATGTAGCCAACTGGCTTCAACATGGAAATATTTGTTTACACACATTGCATTCGCATTTTGAAAATGCACTGCATGTTCGAGCCATGGACAATTGGACATTGCCCAAATGTTATAATAAGATTAGCCTACGATAGCCGTTGATATGGCCTGTTATTGACTTTGCCACGTGAAAGGTAAACAAACGAACAGGCTAATAGCCATGGCTACAAGTGGATTCAGCACCAATGACAGTGATCGGAATTACTGCGATTTGACAGTTTAGGTGCAACAGATGAAAGTGGAAGACTAGGCTACCGTGCACCTCCGCAGGCAAAATCGATGCCATAACCAATTGCGTTACAGCTAAGACCAGCTTTTGGTGAGTCTTACATTTTACCAGTAGCGCTGCTTGAAATGTGCACATTGGCGCACATTTAAAGAAACACCTCAAATATCTCCACCCCTCCAACCTCAGTGCAAGCGAGCTGATATGACTGGTGACTTACCAACCCTGGCGCCAGAGTTGGAAAGTAGCAGACTGCTGGCTTTTACAAGTCAAAATTGCCAAAGAGCGTGCATTTGAAAATTGAGCCCTCATTGTTGATTTAACACTGGAAAATGTGATCTGTACATCTCTTTGTAGCACAACAAAGACAGAGTGAATTACCTGCAGCACATTTTAATTTGGTGAGGACTGACTGACTCTGGCAATCTCTCTCCCCTCGTTGCTGAAACAGAAATAACAAGGATATTCCCTCAGTAAAGAAGAAGATATTCCCCCAGTAAAGAAGAACACTTCTGGGGTTGTCTTTTAGAAGACAGTAGAAGACTTAAAGTTCTCTCTCTCAGAGGAACCCATGACTTACCTCTGCTATCTCTGGAGTGGATTCGGCTTTGCTCACATAACTAAGGACGTGGGACCAGTTCTGGAGGTAGACACTAACCTGATGGATGAAAACACACTCACTTCAGGAAGAAACCCTATAGGACACAAATATCAAGACTGCCCTCTAGTGTTAGTCACTGGAGTTAATCAGATCACAGAGAAAGCGAGAGTTTGAGCGAGTGAGGGAGAGAACGAGAGAGGAATATCTCCCTTCTGCCCTCTGGACAAAGAATAATACATCAGAACATTGACCACTAACTATAATGATGACATACCTTGATGACATTAAGACACATGTTTATTACATGCTTGGCGCTAGTGCAGTAGTCTCGGGCTCGGGAGTAGCACTTGAGGGCGTTGCTGAGGTCACCGCAGTCCAAGTAGTGGTCCCCAAGATCATCATGACCCCGCCTGAAGTGAAAATAAATAGTATTAAGAGGGTTCGGGTCAGAACCAGAGGGGCAGCAGGTAGCTTAGCGCTTAAGAGGGCTGGGCCAGTAACCGACTAGGTGAAAAATCTGTCAATGTGCACTTGAGCAAGGTACTTAACCCTAATTGCTCCAGTAAATCGCTCTGGATTAGAGCATCTGCTAAATGACTAAAATGTCAAATGTAGGAAGAGAAGGCAGGAAAGGAAAATGTATGTTTCTCCCCCTTTGGCCTGAACAAAACACTACGCAGAATGACTGATCTACAAATTTACTTTACAACTTTTCATTGCAAATGACCTTACATTAAAAACTACTACTACTAGTCAACTACTCAGTGATTACTTCTAAGTGATCAAGATTTACAAATCAATCCAGCACCTTACTCAGGCCGATCCTCTCGGAGGTGAGGATTAGATTTACAAATCAATCCAGCGCCTAACTCAGGCCGATCCTCTCGGCGGTGAGGATTATTCAAATCTAAATATAAAGCCAGGTTTATTATCTACTTGCAAACAACCATAGCTTCTCCCACCCACCTGATGCTCTCTTTGATGGAGTTGCCTTTGTAGTTCTTCAGGTCAGTGTCCAGTTTCTCCAGTTTGAGCAGAGCCTTTTTCCTGGTCGACTCGGCCCACGCTGTGTCCAGAGGAGGGGGGTCCACTGCCCCGCCCTCCACAACAGCATCTGGAGCCACCTGGACCTCTCTGAACACACCTCAAATGAATCAAACACTAAAAGAAAATAACAAAATACACTTTCCAACAACAGGCTAAGCTAGGGTTGTCCTCCAGCTACACCAACAACAGGCTAAGCTAGGGTTGTCCTCCAGCTACACCAACAACAGGCTAAGCTAGGGTTGTCCTCCAGCTACACCAACAACAGGCTAAGCTAGGGTTGTCCTCCAGCTACAGCAACAACAGGCTAAGCTAAGGTTGTCCTCCAGCTACACCAACAACAGGCTAAGCTAAGGTTGTCCTCCAGCTACACCAACAACAGGCTAAGCTAGGGTTGTCCTCCAGCTACAGCAACAACAGGCTAAGCTAAGGTTGTCCTCCAGCTACACCAACAACAGGCTAAGCTAAGGTTGTCCTCCAGCTACACCAACAACAGGCTAAGCTAGGGTTGTCCTCCAGCTACACCAACAACAGGCTAAGCTAGGGTTGTCCTCCAGCTACACCAACAACAGGCTAAGCTAGGGTTGTCCTCCAGCTACACCAACAACAGGCTAAGCTAGGGTTGTCCTCCAGCTACACCAACAACAGGCTAAGCTAAGGTTGTCCTCCAGCTACACCAACAACAGGCTAAGCTAGGGTTGTCCTCCAGCTACACCAACAACAGGCTAAGCTAAGGTTGTCCTCCAGCTACACCAACAACAGGCTAAGCTAAGGTTGTCCTCCAGCTACACCAACAACAGGCTAAGGTAGGGTTGTCCTCCAGCTACACCAACAACAGGCTAAGCTAGGGTCGTCCTCCAGCTACACCAACAACAGGCTAAGCTAGGTTTGTCCTCTAGCTACAACAACAACAACAGGCTAAGCTAGGGTTGTCCTCCAGCTACAACAACAACAGGCTAAGCTAGGGTTGTCCTCCAGCTACACGTACCTGGTGGCCTCTGTGAGTTTGCGGTGGATCTCCTCGTACACGTCAACGTTGAAGGTCCTGTGGACGAAGGACAGGGCCATCTTCAAGGCTTCGGCCCGGAGCTGGGGACAGTGCTCTGCTATGAACTGCAGCCTCTCAATGCGCATCAGTCCACTGTAGCTGGACGCATACTGCTCCAGGTCCTACAGAGAGAGAAAGACCGAGACACACACACCTCAGTGAGACAAATGCCTAAAAAGGTAGATTTTTCACTCAATAGTCTACATACCCATTGTATAGATTCATTTGATCTCAGTAGAAACGTGTCATTTGTATGGTATTGGAGTCCAGTCTACATGAAATAAGTGGGCCTTTACAATGTTAGTAGGGGGAAACCCTGGATAGATTCATACCAGCGTGGGGTTTTCCACCACATAGTTGACATCTGGTGCATTCTGCTGGTCCTCCTGTGGGTCAGCATCTATCTGCATGGGCTCCACAACCCCCTGAAGAAGAGAGGACATACACTGATAGGTGTCATATAACAGTGTGGAACAATCAATGAAGGGAATACTGACTGTCTGCAATAGGGCTGTCCCCGACCCCAAAAAATATTGGTCGACCTAGAGGGAGTCCGACCAGTAATTGATTTGATTGTGCCGGTCCAGGCTCAGACTTGCTGCGCAGTGTAAAAAAAAAAAAAAGACAGCGAGTGACTGTGTGACTAGCACCCATTGTCTCTCTCTCTTTCCTGCTGCAGCGACCACCACAGTGTTTATAGCGCTGTCCGTGTTGCTGAAGCTGCACCAGCTATTTCTGACTGAAAAGTTCTTACCGAAATCCCTCATTTGTTTTAGGAAAAACATGACCTATTCCTTCAACCTTTGTTCTCTTTACGTGACACATGTATGTATTGCATGCACGTGACCAATAGGGCCTGACCTATAGCACATCATAATCACATCAATAAATAGGTTATAACAAACGGCGAACACCGTAACAGCAAAACGGATGCAGAGGATGTGACAAACTCGAAAAATGGGGGAATATTTACTGGTTGCTCAGGAGGTAAAGGGGAATTCAGATGTGTGGAATAAATGTGACTAGTTGTGGAACATACTGGAGATCAAGAAACAGAAGGCAAGAAGCTCTGCTGCATATTATGTGAGCCAAACAGGTGCTGGTAGATTACAATATAATGTTTCTGACCGCTTAGAACAATGTAAACAACACTAAATAAATTATAAGCGTACCAGAGAGTCTGTTGTAATGTTTTTTTGGTAAGCCTTTATTAAAGCAAAGACTAAAAACAGTCGCATTCATTCGTGAATGCAATTTGCGAAATGGAACGATTTATTTATAGTTTAAGCTAATTATTCAAGGCTCGCTTTATTTTATTTAAAAACTAAAATGTTTGATTGCATTTACATTTTAGTCATTTAGCAGACGCTCTTATCCGGAGCGACTTACAGTTAGTGAGTGCATAAATTTTCATACTGGTCCCCCGTGTGAATCAAACCCACAACCCTGGCGTTGCAAGCGCCATGCTCTACCAACTGAGCTACACAGGACTACATTTCAAATCATGAATGACTTGTTTGCTGTGTGATGACATGAACGAATGAATGATTGATACAGTAGCCTATATAAGTATTGAAATATAGGCCTAAGTAAGTTACAGTATTAAGACTAATCAGGATGCGCTCTTTGACAAACAGCTCGATGGTGGTTATACAAGGCTGCTATACTAAGCCTACTAATGATAATGACATCACTTATTACAAAAAGTAAAAGTAGTGTTATTATTATTATTATAAATATTATTTTTTAGACAATTTGGAACAGTGTAAACACTAAATAAATTATAAATAATACCAGAGAGGCTGTTCTTTTTCTTTTACCCCCTTTTTCTCCCCAATTTCGTGATATCCCATTTCGATCTTGTCTCACCGCTGCAACTCCCCAATGGGCTCGGGAGAGGCGAAGGTCGAGTCATGCATCCTCCGAAACATGACCCGCCAAACCGCGCTTCTTAACACCCGCCCGCTTAACCCTGGAAGCCAGCCGCACCAATGTGTCGGAGGAAACAACATTCAACTGACGACCGAAGTCAGGCTGCAGGAGCCTGGCCCGCCACAAGGAGTCACTAGAGCAAGCCCCCACTAGCCAAACCCTCCCCTAACCCATGGCCAGTGATTTCAATAGGCAGCAGCAGTCTCTAATGTGCTAGTGATGGCTATTTAACAGTCTGATGGCCTTGAGATAGAAGCTGTTTTTCATTCTCTCGGTCCCAGCTTTGAGGCACCTGTACTGACCTCGCCTTCTGGATGATAGCGGGGTGAACAGGCAGTGGCTCGGGTGGTTGATGTCCTCGATGATCTTTTTGGCCTTCCTGTGACATCAGGTGCTGTAGGTGTCTTGGAGGATGGATAGTTTGCCCCCGGTAATGCGTTCGGCAGACCGCACCACCCTCTGGAGAGCCCTGCGGTTGCGTGCGGTGCAGTGCCCTTACCAGGCAGTGATACAGCCCGACAGGATGCTCTCAATTGTGCATCTGTAAAAGTTTGTGAGGGTTTTAGGTGCCAATCCCAATTTCTTCAGCCTCCTGAGGTTGAAGAGGCTCTGTTGCGCCTTGTTCACCACTTTCTCCACTGCGGTCCCGTCGATGTGGATAGGGTGGTGAACCCTCTGCTGTTTCCTGAAGTCCACGACCATCTCCTTTGTTTTGTTGACGTTGAGTGAGAGGTTATTTTCCTTGGCACCACACTCCCAGAGCCCTCACCTCCTCCCTGTAGGCGGTCTCGTCATTGTTGGTAATCAAGCCTACTACTGCGGTGTCGTCTGCAAACTTGATGATTGAGTTGGAGGCGTGCTTGGCCACGCAGTCATGGGTGAACAGGGAGTACAGGAGGGGGCTGAGCACACACCTTTGTGGGGCCCCAGTGTTGAGGATCAGCGAAGTGGAGATGTTTCTTACCTTCACCACCTGGGGGCGGCCCGTCAGGAAGTCCAGGACCCAGTTGCACAGGGCGGGGTTCAGACCCAGGGCCTCAAGCTTAATGATGAGCTTGGAGGGTACTATGGTGTTGAATGCTGAGCTATAGTCAATGAACAGCATTCTTACATAGGTATTCCTCTTGTCCAGATGGGATAGGGCAGTGTGATGGCGATTGCATCGTCTGTGGATCTATTGGGGTGGTAAGCAAATTGAAGTGGGTCTAGGGTGACAGGTAAGGCAGAGGTGATATGATCCTTGACTAGTCTCTCAAAGCACTTCATGATGACAGAGGTGAGTGCTACAGGGCGATAGTCATTTAGTTCAGTTACCTTTGCTTTCTTTGGTACAGGAACAATGGTGGCCATCTTGAAGCATGTGGGAACAGCAGACTGGGAATGGGAGAGATTGAATACGTCCGTAAACACAACAGCCAGCTGGTCTGCGCATGCTCTGAGGACACGGCTAGGGATGCCGTCTGGGCCGGCAGCCTTGCAGGGGTTAACATGCTTAAATGTCCATGTTGGCCATGGAGAAGGAGAGGCCACAGTCCTTGTCAGTGGGCCTCGTCAGTGGCGCTGTGTTATCCTCAAAGTGGGCGAAGAAGGTGTTTAGCTTGTCTGGAAGCGAGACGTCGGTGTCGGCGACATGGCTGGTTTTCCTTTTGTAGTCCGTGATTGTCTGTAGACCCTGCCACATACGTCTCGTGTCTGAGACGTTGAATTGCGACTCCACTGTCTCTATACTGATGTTTTGCCAGTTTAATTGCCTTGCGGAGTGAGTAGCTACACTGTTTGTATTCTGCCATATTCCCAGTCACCTTGCCATGGTTAAATGCGGTGGTTCGCGCTTTCAGTTTTGCACAAATGCTGCCATCTATCCACAGTTTCTGGTTAGGGTAGGTTTTAATAGTCACAGTTGGCACAACATCACCTATACACTTCCTGATAAACTCACTCACCTTTTCAGTGTATTCATCTAAATTATTTTCGCAAGCTACCCGGAACATATCCCAGTCCGCGTGATCAAAACAATCTTGAAGTGTGGATTCCTATTGGTCAGACCAGCGTTGAATAGTCCTTAGCACAGGTACTTCCTGTTTGAGTTTCTGCCTATAGGAAGGGAGGAGAAAAATGTAGTCGTGGTCAGATTTGCCGAAATGAGGGCTGGGGAGGGCCTTATAACCATCCCGGAAGTTCGAAAAGCAATGGTTGAGGATTTTGTCAGCGCGAGTACAACAGTCGATATGTTGATAGATCTTCGGCAGCCTAGTCCTCAAATTTGCTTTGTTAAAATCCCCGACTACAATAAATGCAGCCTCAGGATGTGGTTTCCAGTTTGAATAAAGTCTAGTGAAATTCTTTGAGGGCCGTCGTGGTATCGGCTTGAGGGGGGATATACACGGCCGTGACTATAACCGAAGAAAATTATCTTGGGAGATAATACGGTCGGCATTTGATTGTGAGATATTCTAGGTCGGGTGAACAGAAGGACTTTAGTTCCTGTATGTTACTACAATTACACCATGAGTCGTTAATCATGAAACACACACCTCCGCCCTTCTGCTTCCCGGAGAGATCTTTATTCCTGTCTGCGCGATAAACTGAGAACCCATCTGGCTGGACCGATTTTGACAGAATATCCCCAGAGAGCCATGTTTCCGTGAAACAAAGTATGTTACAGGCCTTGATGTCTCTCTGGAAAGAAATCCTTTCCCGGAGCTCGTCGAGCTTGTTAACCTGAGACTGAACATTAGCGAGTAGTATACTTGGAAGCGGTGGGTGGTGTGCCCGCCTCCTAAGTCGAACCAGCAGGCCGCTCCGAGTGCCTCTCCTCCGCCGGCGATGTTTTGGGTCAGCCGCTGGAATCAGTTCAATTGCCCTGGGGAGAGCAAACAAAGAATCTGCTTCGGGAAACTCGTATTCCTGGTCATAATGCTGGTGAGCTCTGATATCCAATAGTTTTTCCCGGCTGTATGTAATGATACAAAACACTTTCTGAGCTAATAATGTAAAAAATAATACATAAAAAAACAAAATACTGCAAAGTTTCCTAAGAGCTAGTCGCGAGGTCGCCATCCTCGTCGGCGCCAGGCATAGTAAATTCGATCAGACGTATCCCTTGAACAAACAAGATTAACCAACTCAAATCCCAATATGAGAGGTCCACCAAAGTCCTTGTCAATTCCCTGACAGCCCAACAATGTGCAATGGAGTGTTCACTGAGGATAGCTTAGGTTTTGGGAAAACACAAAAAAACATTTTCAGATGCTGAGATGGTAAAATAATGCATGTGTGAAGTTGCTAGCGCCTTGCTTGAAGGTAAACTAAAAGATGAGCTCAGGGAAAATATCAAACAGATCCCACTATCAGATTCCACAGCAATGAGGAGAACTGAAATATTAGCTGAAGATTTAACTTCACAACTTGATGAGGCCATTCAGAATGCACCACGCATTTCATTAGCTGTGGATGAAGCAACAGATAACACTGATAATGCCCAGCTTCTGGT